TGAAACAAAAATGAAGCCCCTTGCCCAAGGACAGCTACTTCCTGAAATGTGGGGGCTATTGCTTATGTAAGAAAACAAGCCACATGTTCTTGCTCCCCTAAACAAGCTTGTTTGACCCAACTGAACCAGATGTATGTGAGCACATGGAGGTGAGAGGTACAGGCAGGAAGGACATTAGGATGCATGCTTGCCCCTGATTAGACCTGCTGGGAAATGCATAGACTAATGGGTTTACATTTATAAGACTTGACAAGATATAACTTGTTGCCATTTTCTGGGGAACCTGGATGGACCTGGCCAGAATCCACCATCCTGGCCAGAGTCCATCATCCTGGCCAGTATTTAATTAAAGTTTGGTTCAAATTTGACTCAAAATTATGGAAGTGATCATATTCTCACATGATGGGGTCAACACATGGAAGTAGGGGGTCACTGGTGGAGTGCTTGCTAATCATGAAAAACTGTGGGTTCAATCCTCAGCACTTGAAAAACAAAATGAAAATCTTAAAAAAAAACTTTGTATAAAGTGATCTCAGTACAGGAGACAGGCACTGGCAGGTACTGGCAGGCACTGACAGGCACTGGGATGTGGATGAGTGGAAACATTGCGTGGTCAAGCCAGAAGGAGAGCTGTGGGCAAAACAAAAACAGGGAGAACTTGAGATGTCTGGCTCTTTGTGTTCCCGGGGATCTCAAGTGAAAACATTGATTCATAGTCATCGAGGAAGAACCTGGGAAAGGTTACTGCAGTAGGCACAGCAATAAACAGGCCAGGATGTCTGAAAGATGCCATCTCCCAAGGCTTGCCTCCCCTTAATCACAACAGCTCTGGAATGGGGACAAATACACTCATCTGTTTTAGACCAGAGCACCCTGTGATGTAGGAAGGTGGCTTGGGCAGCAGATCTCTCGTTAGTGTACCCCTGAGACGACAGGACGACAGGAGACTACCGTGCCAAGCTTGTACAGATGTGCAGTCGTGAAGCTCGGTCAAGCACTGCTGCTCTCCCAGGAAACCTGCTTCCTGAGGACTGTTTGCTCTTGAAAGTGTGTTTTGGAGGAGTCAGCTTGGCAAGCTGAGCAGTGATGGCCCCAGGAGGCTCTGAATCATCATCCATCAGTCTCTGTATATCAGCCCCTGGCTTTGCCCCCAGGGTCAGAGCCTTGTTACTCTGTGTCCAAAGAAGCATGTTGCAAGATGGCACATATACACTAGCCTTCCATCTCGCCAGCCAGCTATTTCTTCAACTTTGAACTTGCACCCAGTTTGTCCTTGAACTTGTCATCTGTGAATTTCCCTTGATCTTTCCCCTACCTTCCTTATCCCCAAAGCCACTCTGACCTCCTTACAGGCTGTTGCACTTTCTACAAAACCCAGAGGAACAGTAGGTCGGCACACTACCTTCTGCCAGACCTACAGCTCCGACTGTAGCAATCTGCCTTGAGAAAGACCTTCGAACTTTCACTCCATCCTGTCCTTTTCCCTGCTTCCTTGTGACTACAGACATTCAAGCTGGAATTAGACACAAAGTTGTCCCTCTTCTCAAGCAATATTCTAGTTCCAGTTTTAAGTCAGTTCTCTCATTCAAAATTCCTGTGCCCAGCAACTCTGTAGAGAAAACTCTCCCATCCGCATACTAACCAAGACTGAGATCTCCTAGAAAAGTTATCATGATCTCATCTAAACCTGTAAGCTCTGGTTTTAATCAGCTATCTATCAAAGCAAGGTTAACGGATGAGCTGGCCTCCAAAGTTTCATTCCCCTTTTCTATAATGATAGAACCTCTAATTAGTATAATAATACCATGAAGGTTCAGAGCTATCTATGGCCACGTCACTAACAACTGCGATAGGAATTGAAATGTTCACTGCTGGGATAAATCTTGACAGGTGTACACCCAAAAGGCCTTCATTTTCTATCCTCCTGCCTGAAATGTAGATGAGGGTGTTACTGTGTGCCGTCCTGGACCATAGAGGTCAGGGCAAGGCTGTACTACACGTGATAAGATAGAGACTTGGATTCCAGAATGACCTCCTGAAAAGAGAACTCCTTAACCATATCTGCTATTACCACTTCCTAACTGTAACTTGAGACTGAAATAAATGTTTTCCTTCCTTAAAGCAGTACCTTGAATATCATTTATATACATGTAACAGAGCCCATATGACAATAAGTTCATCTGCGGCTCTGTATGTGAATCTTCTTCTCTTATATTTTATTTTTAATTATGCATATATTGGGGTGGGCAGACTAGGAGGTCAGAAGAGGGTGTCTGATTCCCTGGAGCAGGACCTAGAGGCATTAGTGAACTATCCAATATGGGTGGCAGTCACTGAACTCAGGACTCTGGAAAGCAACAATTGCTTTTATCTGCTGAACCATCTCTAGTACATATTTTATTTTTAACTCGTGTGTGTGTGTGTGTGTGTGTGTGTGTGTGTGTGTGTGTGTGTGTAGGTTCAGGTGACTGGAGAGGTCAGAAAAGGGCATCAGATCCCCTAAGCTGAAGTTTCCAGATATTGTAAGCCACCAATGTTGGTGCTGGGCACTAAACTTATTCTTAGTCAACCAGCTACCTCTTCACCCCTCTGGTCACACCATTCTTTAGGTCTCAAAATCAGTCTTTCCTTTTTCCTCCCCTTATGACTTTCTTTCCTGTAAATTTCTGTGGGTATCCTATATTTTCTTTTCTTTTTGAGTAACTCTAGATAGACCTCCTAAAAAGTACAAATTATTTTTAAAAGCTTCTATGCTTCACACTCTACCCCTTTTCCTTCCTTTGGTCTTTCCTTCTTCTTTCCTTCCCTCCTTTCTTTCTTCTTGTCTACCTGTCTTTCCAAAGCAGATAGTTCCTGTTTCCCTGACATCAGGCAATACAGAGAGATGACTCTAACACATGTATCAGCGCCACCAGCTGAACCTCCTGTGGTCTGCTCAGGAGGAAATGGATAGTGAAACTATCCATCTGGGTTTTGGGTATCACAGACGCAGGACGATGACAAAGCACTAAGATCATGGCTATCTAGAAGAAACCCACTCATCAGCACGCCACAAGACCAGTTTGTAGATGACACCTCTTACTCAGCATCCAGCCGTGGACACTAAACTGTTAACACCACTGACTCTCAGCACCTGCAGTGGCTACCAGAGCCAGTGCCTCCACTGCTCTGGCAATAGACAGCCGCTCTGGTCTTCTCTTGTGTCCCCAGCTTTCATTTTAAGGTCCAGGGTAGACACACTTGGTTTTGGCCCTTATATCACACACCCAGACGTAGTCGCAGTGGCTGCTAGGAAGGGAATCCTTAGTTGTCAAGTATCAGTGGCCTTTGTGCCACAGAAAAACAACCAGTAAAAAATTCTGCAGCTGGGCAGTGGTGGGGAATGCTTGTGTTCTGTTTTTGTTTCCTTTGTTTGGGTTTGGGTTTTGGTTTTCGAGGTTTCCCTGCATAGCCCTGGCTGTCCTGGAACTCGATCTGTAAAACCAGGCTAGAGCCGGGTGGTGGTGGCGCATGCCTTTAATCCCAGCACTCGGGAGGCAGAGGCAGGCGGATCTCTGTGAGTTCAAGGCCAGCCTGGTCTACAAGAGCTAGTTCCAGGACAGGAACCAAAAAGCTACAGAGAAACCCTGTCTCAAAAAATCAAATAAATAAATTTCCCTCATTGAATAAAGTGGAAGAGCAATCAAGGCTGATTCTGAACATCAACCTTAGGTTTCCATGCGCACACATGTGCATGCATGTGTACATGCACAAATGCATGTACATACACTCATACACATGAAAATGGAAAAGCAAAACAAAACAAAAGCAATCAACAAAAAACATCCCACTACTTTGCTTTATTGGCAGAAATTTCAGTTCCTGGACCGCAGAAAGTGAGGCTCATGTGTNGAGAAGGAGAAGGAGAAGGAGAAGGAGAAGGAGAAGGAGAAGGAGAAGGAGAAGAAGAAGAAGAAGAAGAAGAAGAAGAAGAAGAAGAAGAAGAAGAAGAAGAAGAAATAAAGGAGAGGAAGAAGAAGGAGAAGGGGGAGGGGGAGGACGAGGAGGAGGAGGAGGAGGAGAAAGAAGAGGAAGAGGAAGAGGAAAATTCTGCGAACACTAGAAGCTAGACTACAAAACTAACCTATGGCTCCTGACAGAACTTAATGTAATCTCTCTATGTGTATTGGGCTGTGAGATGTGAATGCCTGGAACAGCCTATGATTTGAGGACTATTACCAGCCTAGGAAATGAAACTCTGAGTCTCCCTGTGTGCAGACTATGGTGACTGGTGAAGCTATCTATTTACTTCCGCCCTCCAGACTGAATGGCTTGTCCTCAAGATGCTGGACCTAGCAGCGCTAGCAGGGAATCCGAAGAGACCCTTTCTAGAATTCTCCGTTACCTTGTCTTAGTGGAAAGGTCTGATTTTTATGCTTTATTTTTGTTGATTTTTTATTGTCTTTTTGCCATCCCTGGAAGTTTAGGCCCATTGTAAACTCAGTCTTGACCAGAGAGATGCCCTTACCTAAGCCTTCAAATCCAGAATGCGTTAGCGTTGAAAATATGAGAACATACGTTAACCATCATTCCTTGCAGCCCTTCCCCTGTGCTTAACATCACGAGTCACATGAGAAAAGAATTCCCTTTGGTGGCACACTAGTGACTAGGTGGCATGTTCACTTCTCATGACCCCAACCTGTACACATAACATGACTGTGATGGAGATTTGGGGCAGGTGTCACAGACAATGACATTTCCTGTGGCCAAGAATTCCCTAGCATGCAACTGTCATGTCGGAGGCTGGGCCTTGATTCCTGCCACCTCCGAAAGTTCAGGTCTGTGTTTGCGAAAGGCCCCAACAGCCTGGCCTGAATAAAACCTCAAAGCGAGAGAAGGAGACAATTTACAAGCTGCCCAGGACAGACCTATGTATACAAAAACTAGCACAGATTTTCCTTTTGTCTCAAACTATTTCCAGTTCCTCAGGGATTAAAAAAAAAAACTTGCTGTCACCGTACCATGTTTTAAAGAGAATGATTCCGCCGAGTTTCTGTCTTTCCTAAGCTGCTCCCAGGTTCCTCCAATTTGGTTCTAACTCCAGCTTCTGCAAGCTTCCGTATCAACTACATTAAGCCATCTTCACTTAATTCATATTCAAAGTCCAAAATGTTCATCAATGTATCATTTAGAAGTAGGTTCAGCTGTAAGAAAGCAAAACCTCCTTAAGTCACAGTGGCTTAGAGCAAGATTTATTTCCCTCTCTCACTTAAACAGAGCCTAGAGCCAGTACGGTGACTCTGATTGTCAACTGAGACTCACAATGAGTTGAGTTACATAACAGCTCCTTGCATAGCAGTGTTCACATCTGTCTGACATTCTTTTAAAAAAAAATAAAGTATTTCTTTTCCATTTTAGCAATATAAAACCTCTAACCAGAGCCCTCTTTGTAAAGTTCTGTGTTTTATTGTGCACAGTTGAAGAGGTTCTGCTGAATTAACACCCAGGAAACCTCACTGAATTGCCCAAAGGAATGCATGGCAAAATTTAGGGAAGAAGAAAAAGAGAGAAGAGCCATGGTGGTTTACATCTGCATAATCTCAGCACGCAGGAGACTGTGACGGGAGAATGGCCATGAGTTCAAAGCTATCCTGGACTGCATAGTGAGTTTCGGGTCACCCGGAACAGCAGAATGAGATCCCAGTCTCAAGGAGGAGTCTCCTTCAGGTTATCAGGGATTGGGGTCCTCTTCTCAGATGTTTCTGCCACCCCCAAGCAGGAATTCCTAATTTGACCTGTCTTATTGTGTTTAACCTTTGAGATTTCAAAGTTAATTTAGCCAACTCTTCCTAGAATAGTATCTAAATAAAAAAAAAAAAAAAAAAAAAAAAAAACACATTGACACTTTTTGTTTTGTTTTCATGACAGGAGAGAACATAGTTGCAAAAGCATAGCCAGGTTCACATAGGAAGACAAAAATGATTCCGGAAAGTTGCAGGCAGTAACTTGACCTGGGTCTGGCTACTGGGAGCTCTGGCCAGCCCCCCCGCCACCCTCCCAAGGCAGCCTTGTTCTCCTTATCTCCGCCACACCCCCACACTCACCCTTGGCCTCCTCTTATCGTCCTCCAGGTTGTCCCAAGACTCCTGCTGTTGCTCAGTGCTGACTTCAGAGCACGGCATGCACCTCTCCTTGGGGCTGGCTCATCTCCTCGGGTTTACCCTGGCTTCTTTCTCGGCCTTGGCCCTAGCTCCACCTGGCTCCAACCCAACGAACACCCAGAGTCCCCTCCCCTGCTCAACACCTCCTGAGGCTTCCATGTAAACTAGTCACCTTAGGTGAATGACCTTCTCAGGGTCAGAAGAACACTCAGTAGGGTTTTCTTTTCTTTCTCATACTTTTTTGGAGCTGTTAAAGAGAAATGTTCATGTTTGTCTCCCAACTTTCAAATCATCTATAAAAAGGAAGCAGTATTTACTGAGCACCGAGCCAGGGGGCTAAATGCTTCTCAATTTCTCTTAATCATTGTTAAAGCAGTTCTTGGAGAGAGGTGTCATAATTTCACTTTCTGCAGGAAAATAAACAAAACTAAGATTGTGTAGGATTAAGTTACTGTCTGTGATCACCTGGCTGGTAAGAAGCAGAGCTTCTTCTTAGGTTCACTTTCGCCACACCTCCACGGAGCTACGATCATTCGCAGAGACCTCCAGAATTCCAGGTGAGCCTGGGGAAATTGCCAAGTGTGGGTGGGTGGGATTTGATTTGGACGTGAGCACACTTGACACTTCTTCTCGACAGCTCAAATCATGGAACGCACAGATGCATACCATCTGTCAGTGACAGTAAATCAAGCGTGGTTTGAAAAAACAACGTGGATAAAATAATAAGGACACACCTTTAAATGGAAAAGTACAAATGCAAAGTTCAGAGGACTTGTCCTGGAACTCACTCTGTAGACCAGGCTGGCCTCAAACTCACAGAGATCAACCTGCCTCTGCTTCCAGAGTGCTCAGATTAGAGGTATGTGCCACTATGCCTATGCCTAACTATTTTTTAAACCTTTTTTAATTTATTCTTTTTGTCTTTCACACCATGCATCTCAATCCCCATAATTATACTTTTTGTTGTTGTTGTTGTTTGAGACAAAGTTTCTCTGTAGTTTTGATGCCTGTCCTGGAACTAGCTCTTGTAGACCAGGTTAGCCTCAAACTCACAGAGATCTGTCTGCCTCTGCCTCCCGAGCGCTGGGATTAAAGGCGTGTGCCACCACTGTCCGGCTTCATTATACTTTTTAAAAAATAATATATTTTTTAAATGGTGTTCATTGGCGTTTTGCCTGCATGTATATCTGTGTGAATGTGTCAGAAGCCCTGGAACTGCACTTACAACAGGTGTGAGCTGCCATGTTGGTGCTGAGAACTGAACCAAGGAGGACTCGTTATTTTTAAGTTCAGTTAAAGAATACATTCAAAGGCGAATGGTTAGCTGTGATGCCACAAAGCAATCCTGACAACACCTTTTGATGATGGTGGCAGGGCTGGATGTGATGTTCTGATTTCTGAAGCATGACCCCGGGCGTTGTGAGCAAAGGCATGAGGTGGAGAAGCCACAACACAGTCTTTGTGCAGTCCAGCTGCAGTCAGGACTTCGTCGGCCATACTGGGGCAGTTTATTGTAAGCAACAAGTGAGGATCTTGGGTATATTTCAGGAGCACAACAGTTACTACTCTCAGGTATAGCCTCAAGGACAAGGCTCAGAGGACCAGGTTTATTGAGAATCAGAAGTGCTTAAAGATAAAACAGTGGCGATGTAGATACTATACAGTAGTCTCCTGTGGGCCAGAGGCGCGCGCGCGCGCGCGCGCGCGTGTGTGTGTGTGTGTGTGTGTGTGTGTGTGTGTGTGTGTGTGAGCTTCCGCTGAGATGCACAGAAGCCATGGAGAGCTGGAGTCAGGCTGGGAAGCACACACCTATAACACTAGCGTAAGGAATGATGAGACAAGATGCTACAAACTCAGGACCAGCCTAGCTGGTGGATTTAGCTCAGTGGTGGGATGTTTGTCTGCCATGGATTAAGCCTTAGATTTGATCTACAGTGTGGGTCAGGGGATGCAGTATCAACCCTACTAAACCAGATTCCTTTGGAGCTGGTGAAGGCAAGCCTCATCAAAGATTATACACACGGAAACTGGAGCTCGGGGTCTTCACCTTTAGCTGAGAATGGGGGGGTCACATGGAAAACCACCTGGCAGAGTCTGAGCCCTCCGAGATGGCCCCAGAGCCTTATGCTTTAAAAATAACCTCTCCTCTCTTTTCATGACTTTCAAAATAATACCCCCCAAGTCATCCTGACAGACCCCCTAAAGTAAAAATGACTCTGTGCTAATCTAAAACATGCCAGGTGCAACCATCACATGTCTGCCACATCGCTGAGAATGGGCTGTCTTGGAAACACAGACGGATGTCTCCAGCACTCATTGAGAGTTACCTTTCTAAGACAACTGTGGTTTTGGTAATGGTGACTCATCTGCCATGGTAATCTGCTTCCACACTTCAAAGTCACCATGACTAAAGAGCCACCGTTTCCACAGGGTTCCGGAGACTGTCTGCTCCCTCTTGCCCACGGTAGCTGTAAGGGATGAAAAAATTAACTCCGGAGGTCAGAGGTTGACCTAGGCTCTTTGGCTGTCACTGTGGTCTCCATTTTAGCCACATGCATTCAGGGAACAAACATGGGCTTTGAGATTTAAAGCCCTGGCTTTATTTCCAAAAGCTCCGGGCCCTAGAGGATAAGGAAGCTGCTGTGTATGGCTGGTAACTGCTCCACAGCAGAGTGAAGGGTTACTGGGGCTCACATCAGTCACTTGAACTTTAGTGTAAGCTTAAGCCCAAGACCAGGACAATTCTGAGTGTATTATTGCACTGGTAGTGACAGTGAGTGGCCCTGCAGTATTTGGCCGGGTTTCTGGCAGAAGTTCTTTTTTATTCTGAAATTTAAATAGATGTTTTCTCGATTTGTCTATAGAACCTTCATTTTGTATGTTATCTTTGTATTAGAGTATGAATAAAGCAAACATATTAACCTTCTCTTTTTTTGTTTTTGGTTTTTGACCATGCTAGGTGTCCAAACCTAGGGCCTCATGCTTCCTCGTCAAGTGGCCTGGCGCTCAACTGCATGGCAAACCAATCATCTCTAAGAGTACTATGCAGCATGGTGAACATTCCCATCACTGTACCAGCAGACCTGCAAAACCGAGACTCCATATGCTCTAAATCCCCCGCCCCCCACCTGCGGATTGATTTTACACATGAACATCATTATGTTAATGTGCTCCTTTAAAAGCTGTCTTAGCCCGGCAGTGCTGACCTACAATTCCAGTGACTTTGGAAAGCTGAAACCGCAGGCCTGTAAGTTCATTGCCAGCCTAGGCAACTGAAGGAGCTCCTTAAAATATTAAAAATTAAAAAAAAAGCCAGGTGGTGGTAGCACACACCTTTAATCCCAGCACTTGGAAGGCAGAGGCAGGCAGATCTCTGTGAGTTCAAGGCCAGCCTGGTCTACAGAGTGAGTTCCAGGACAGCCAAGGACAGCAAAGGCTATACAAAGACACCCTGTCTCAAGAAACAAATATACACAAAAAAATTTAAAAGTTAATAATAATAATAATTTTAAACTGTCTAGTGCTAAGTCTCAGAGGTAAAGGAAGGAAGATTTAAAAAAAAAAGTCATGGTTCACAAAGTTCTATTATGCTAGAGACAGAGTAACTCTCAGCATTGGTGAGAAGTAAACTCATGAGCAAATTAGAAAATAGCCTATCAAAATTTAAAACCTGGACTTTTTTTTAACAACTATTCAACATTGAAGTCTTTATGGATACACTCAAAAAATTAGAAACAACTTGAAAATTCATTAATATAGAGGCTTGGTCACACACATATGGCAAAATAACCACACAGAAACTGTATTAATTAAATCACTGCTTGTCCCATTAGCTCTAGCTTCTTATTGGCTAACTCTTACATCTTAATTTAACCCATTTCTATTCATCTGTGTATCGCCACATGGCTGTGGCTTCCTGGTAAGGTCCCAGCATGTCTGTTCCCCGCAGCAGCTACATGGCCTCTCTTGACTCCACCTTCTTTCTCCCAGCCTCTCTTCTGCCCATGCAGATTCTTTATCCATTAACCAATGAAAGCAACACATATACAGAAGGACCTCCTACATCAGTAGAAAGACTAGCAAGCAATTTCTAACAGTTTCTCCCCTTGGAGAAATGGACTGGTATTAGGGATAAATAAAGGTGAGGAATTCACCTAGTTTTACATGCCTCCATATTATGTGAGTTTTTTTTTTATAAAAACATGTAATTGTATTACTTTGAGACCTTTTGAATGTAAGCAGGAGTATCAAGGGCCTCTCTGGCTCATGGCCACCAGACTGCATAAGATCCAACACAAAATCAGAAACCAACTTTGTATGTGGGGGGTTGTTTCCAGGGTTGATTTGCTTGTTTTTGTCACTGCTATTTCATCCCCAGGAGAGAACTTTGCAGACGATAACACCATGCTACAAAAAAGCTGAACACACCACTCGTGAGCAGACAGCATCAAGACACACTTTTTCTCCAGTGTTGAGTTATTGGTTTTTGGCAAGAAGGCCTATTTTATATGACATTTTCCTTTTTAAAAAACAAAAAAATCCTCCTTTTTATTTATTTTTTTTTTTTTTTTGTTTTCTTACTTAGTCTTCTGAAATGTACCTTTGTGGAAGCTTTGTGATTTCTTTTCTAACCCCTTCTCCCCGGGTCCGTCATTTTTGAAAGAACTTACTTGGATCGCAGTTCACGGTGGGATACAGCGTCTGTGATCCCAGAGGGCCTGAGACACTCAGAAGCTCTTTCTGGTAACAAGATATTTTCCTCCCAGTTTCCTGAGTAAAGCTTTGCTGCCCTTAAGAATGATCAACTTTTCTCAAGGTCAGGAGTCACCCAGCCAAGCAGAGCCAGAGGTTGGGACTCACAGCATCAGGCTTCAAGAGCTAGAAGCCAAATGTCTAGATTTTTGTGGTTGTTGTTGTTTAAGTTTTATGTCATGTAAAGGAACAAGTGGTATTAACAGATTTTCTCTGTGCACAAACATAAACTGACTTTGGAAGAAAAGCATTGTTTTGGTTTGGAGGGTTTGTGCTAAAACAAGATCTCTCTTTGTAGCCC